CCGCCGCCGCCACCGCCACCGCTCCCAAGTTGCGGCATGGCTAAAAAGAAGCCCGGTGATGGGGTGGCTGAGATCGCCAGCCGAAAGACTGACGCTCCGGCAGAGCCCTCTCTGGCCACCTGCAGCCCTTTCCATACCCAAAACCTCAGTTAACGTCCCTATTTTGGTGCCGCCAGCTCTGATTTTGGGGGCAGATTTGGGGAAAAAATCCTCAATTTGGGCCCCCTGCGTGTTTCTTGCCATGGTGGGTTGCCTTCCCACATGAGGGGCGACGCTGCGAGGACACAGGGGTGCCTCGGAGCATCGCTCTGCTGCCGCCTTTTGTTTTTCCCAGCTGTAAAATGGGAAGAAAAAAAGCTCAAGTTTTGGCAAACAGCCGGTTTGCGGGAGGCCAAGCGCCCTGGAAGACCCTCTAATCACCGCGACATTGCTTGTCTTGTCTTCCCTGCCCAGGTACCGGGGCTGGCTGGTCCGGAGGGTCTGCGCTTTCCTCGCTGTCTGGGATTGGAAAATTCCCGCTGACACCCCCAGAGACCTCCCGGCGCGGATTTGCCGCAGCAAGAGGTAGGTGGGAACGGCCGGAGGGAACGCTCCGGGGTCACCCGTCACCCTTGGGAGGACCCAGATCCTGCAGCATCGTTCTCCCCTTCCCCAAATCCTGCGGGATGCCGTTCGATCACCCGGAGCGAGGGATACGGGATGGCGGCAGCAAGAAATGTCATCTCCTCCTCGCCGCTCTGCCCTTGCCATAAACTCACCCCGAGGAAGGGGCTTCGCAGCTGCTCCCCTCACACTCCACCCCCCAAAAAGGGGCCGGTGCCCCGGTTCGGTGGGCAACCGGCTCTCCCGGCTCTGCCCCAGTGTGCCACCGAGGCTTTCCCCGGTCTTGCCCTGTCCCGAGCACACAGCATCTGCGGTGACATGGGCCTCGTCAGGCAACTGTCACCCAACTCCTCCTCCTCACGGCTAATTACCCAGCACAGGCCGGCGGCCCGGGGATGCTTTTGGATCCCTCGCTCTGCCCTCCCACTTCCCGCCTCCTCTCCTTCCTCTTTTCCCAGGGTACGGGATGTCACGGCTGGCCGGTCCCGTGTCTCCAGAGGGGACGGTAAATCCCACTGCCGGCGGTGTAAGGAGAAAATACTGGCGATCCTGGCGGAAATCCAGGCCCCGCTCTCCCTTCTCACGCTGAGGTCTGCGCGCCCTCTCTCTCCGGGGAGGGCGGTGGGTGCGGATCCCCCTTCCCCGGCATCTCCCGCCTCCTCCTGGAGGGATCCCAGTTGCCAACTGGGGCGTTCCCGGTCCCTTTTCTCCGCTCCGGGTCTCTCATGCTCTTCGTTTGTGTATTGAGCCCCTTCGGGTGGGCTTTGAGCGGCGACTCCGTGCCTCAATCCCACGGGCCATCCTGTGGGGGGTGCACAGGATCCTTTGGGAGATATGGGGGGATCCTGTGGGGGATGCAGGTGAATCCTGTGGGGGATGCAGGTGAATCCTGTGGGGGATGCAGGTGAATCCTTTGGGGGGATGTGTAGGGATCCTTTGGGGGATATATGGAGATCCTTTGGAAAATGCAGGTGGATCCTTTGGGGGATGCGTGGGGATCCTTTGGGAAATGCAGGTGGATCCTGTGGGGGATGCACAGGGATCCTTTGGGGGATACGTGGGGATTCTTTGGGAAATGCAGGTGGATCCTGTGGGGGATGCACAGGGATCCTTTGGGAGATATATGGGCATCCCTGTGGGGGATGCAGAGTGATCCTTTGGGAGATATATGGGGATCCTTTGGGGATGCAGGTGAATCCTTTAGGGGGATGTGTAGGGATCCTTTGGGAGATGCAGGTGGATCCTTTGGAAAATGCAGGGGGATCCTTTGGGGGATGTGTGGGGATCCTTTGGGACATGCCAGTGGATCCTTTGAGAAATGCAGAGGGATCCTTTGGGGGGATGTGTGGGGATCCTGAGGGGGATTCAGGTGGATGCTGTGGGGGGGGATGTGTGGGGATCCTGTGGGGGATGCAGGTGGATCCTGTGGGGGATGCACAGGGATCCTTTGGGGGATATGGGGGGATCCTGTGGGGGATGCAGGTGGATCCTTTGGGGGTATGTGGGGATCCTTTGGGAGATGCAGGTGGATTTGGGGGGATGCAGGTGGATTCTTTCAGGGATGCGTGGGGATCCTTTGGGGGATATGCTGGGATCCTCTGAGGGATGCACATGGATCCTTCGGGGGACACGTGTGCCGAGAGCCCAGGGCAGGCAGCCCTCGGGGTCCCACACAGCTCCCTGGGGCTGCTTCCCCCAGTTCCTTCCAGGGAGCTGGAATCTGACCCCGGAGTGGAGAAGGGAGAGAGTGGGGGGGGAAAAAACCCCACTGGGAGGATGGAAATTAAAGCACAGCAAAAGGGAACTTTTCCTTTCTCTCTCTCTTTCTCTCTCCTCTTTTCTTTTTTTTCCTCCTGTCATTGAGAAATTGGCAATTAAAGGTTGCATTGTAGCCTAATTGCTCGTCTGATTGAGCTGTAATAAAAGAACCCTCTGAGCAGTCTGAAGTATTTAAAGGGAAGAAATTATCCAGGGGATAAAAGCGTTCGGTTCCTTCTCGTAAACAGCGTGCGGGAGGACGGGGAGATGGAGGGGTAATTGACTTCAGCTTTTGTTGCCAGGGGGAGAAGGGGGTGGTCTTGTCACATCCAGCCTTTAATGTTTTAACTTAATTTCGTATAAAGCTGTTTATTTGCTTTATGGGAGCTGAGAAGTGACATTTTGAGTCGAGCTGTCTCATGCCAACCCACTTTTCTGCCGGGGGTGGGGAAACTGAGGCAGGGAAGGGTGGCCTGGGTAAGGTCTTGGGCCGGGGGGAAGAGGTTGGGGGCAGCCACGGCCCCCGCTGGGTTGCTCACTCGCTTGTTTTCCTGCAGGCTGTGCAACTGGTTTCTGCTCAAGCTCCTGAACCGCCTCTTCCTCAGCGTGCAGCTCCACCGAGGGCAGCTGGAGATGGTGCTGAGGGCCACCAGGACGGTAGGGAGCCCGCGGCGAAGCCGCTCTTGGCCCTGCCCCTGGCCGCCGGCACGCCAGGCGCTGAGCCCCAGCCACCTTCCTTGCAGCCCGACGTGCCGCTGGTTTTCCTCTCCACCCACAAATCCCAGCTGGATGGGCTGCTCCTGTCCTTCCTCCTCTTCTCCCAGGGGCTGGGGGTGCCCCGGGTGACGGTGGGCGGTCAGGTCTGCAGCCCTCGCCTCCGGTAAGGCACGGCAGACACCGGCTTGTGGCACTGGCAAAGCCCCCCGCGCCGTGGTGGGGAACTTGCAGGGGGGACGTGGCCCCGTGCAAGGCACCCATGTTGTCTTCTTTCCCCCGCAGCGCCCTGCTCGCCCGCCTGGGAGGGATTTTCCTGCCTCGGAGAACGGAGCAGACATCAAGTGAGCAAGACGAAGGGCTGCCAGGGGCTGTCCTGGCCACGGTATGTGCCGGGAGGGATGAAACATTCCCCCCCCCACACCCCCCCCGGCCAAGTTCCAGAAACGCTCGCTGAAGGTGTTTTGGGGTGTCTCAACTGCAGGGTGACCCAACCTTTTGGCCGTGCGATGGGTGCATCGCACCTGCGCAGCCCCGGGGTGCTGCCGGTCCCCTCCCAACCTCATTCCATCCCCTCCCACAGTACGTCGAGGAGGTGCTGAGGAGCCAACAGCCTCTCCTCATCTTCCTGGAAGAGCCCCCCATCGCCCTGCGCCTCTCTGCCGCTGCCCGGCAGTGGCTGGCCCTGGTGTACCGAGCCGTGCGGGATGGCGCCGTCCCTGACGTCCTCCTGGTCCCCGTGGGCATCGCCTACGACGTGGTCCCCGGTGGTTTGCAGCGGGAAGGAGTGGTGAGAGGTTTTACTGCTGCGGGTACAGCACCGAAACCTCCGTTTCGCTCCCCTTCATCACCCCGCTAACGCTTTGGTCCTCTCTCCTCCCAGCAGAGTGCTCAGCCCCTTGGCCTCGGCAATTGCCTCTGGGCAGCGTGCCGTGCTGCATGCCAAAACCTCGGCTGCGCCCGGGTGGACTTTGCCCAGCCCTTCTCCTTACAGGTACGGCAGCACGGTTGCAGCTGGGGCTACTGGCTGGATCTGTCCCGGCCCTGGAGGGATTATTGCCGTGATTTTGGTGGCTGTACAAACCCCAGTGGGTCGGACGGAGGGTTTGGGGTGGCTGGGGGCAATCCGGTGTTCTCCAGCGGGTCTGGTGTTCTCCAGGGGATCCGGTGAAGATTGTTCTCCGGGCAATTCGGTGAGCCTGGGAGGGAGGGTTTGGGGTGGCTGGGGGCAATCCGGTGTTCTCCAGCGGGTCTGGTGTTCTCCAGGGGATCCGGTGAAGATTGTTCTCCGGGCAATTCGGTGAGCCCACCTTTAGGAGAATCTTGGGGGGCTGTGGGGAAGCAATTGTGGGTCCTTGGGGACCCAAGGGATGGAGTCAGCTTGGCACCGAGGGCTGCAAGCACCAACAGGCTTGATTTTTTTTTTTTTTTTTAATCCTCATTCCCAGGAGTTTGTGGCCAAAAACCTCATCCAGCAGAGCTGCAGGGAGAAGCCACTGGAGGAGCTGCTGCTGCCCGCCATCCTCGGCACGTGGGAAGTGGGCGCCAAGCATCGGGGCAGCGTGTCACCTCCGACATCCACTTCCTTCACCACTTCTCACCCCGTTTTTCTCCAGCCCCGGCCAGCTGGATCCCAAAAAGGCGGAGTTTTGGAGCCCCAACCCCGTGACGGTCGCCAGCTTAGGGCCAGAAGAGGAAATATTGGTGACCGAGCTGGGCCTGCACTCCCTGAGCGGTGAGGGGGGGTCCCTTTGGGCTCGGTGTTGGGGGGCTCATCCCCAAATTGGCTAACGAGCTCCTCTTCCTCCCTCTTTGCAGACGGCGTTGCCTGCTCCGCTGTCATGGCTGTGGGGATCACATCTGCGCTGCTGCTGCACAAACACCGGGAGGTGAGACAAGGAGGTGTCCGGTGGGCTTTTCTTTCGGAGCAAGATTTCCAGAGCCCCCACCAACACCCATATTAGGGACTACCTCATCCTCCTCTTCCTCCAGGGCATCTTCCTCTCCTGCCTGATGCTGGACTTCGCCTGGTTGCTGGAGGAGATCCTGCTGCGCCAGCGCGATGTGGGCTTCTCGGGGCAGCTCCGTGCCCTGGTGCAGCACAGCCTCACCCTCCTCGCCTCCCAAATCACCCTCTACCACCTCTCCCCCGTGGGTGACATCCTGGTGGTCCCCAAGGCCTCGGCGGTGGCCCTGAAGGAGCTGAGCCACCACAGCGCTGCCATCCTGCCCGTCTTCGCCGGTGAGGCGGTGGGAGGTGAGGAGCGAGGTGTTTTTTGGGGGGGGGTGGGTGAAAATCAGTGACACCGGGGATCGGTGACGCCACGGGGAATGGGTGACACCGCTTTCCCGGCAGCCTGTGCCATCCACGCCTTGCTGATGGAGATGCTGCCCTTCCTGGGGGTGACCGTCGGACCCTCCGCCATCGTCCTCAGCCAGGATGAGCTGCGCCGCAAAACCCTGGAGCTGCTCCGGCTGCTGCCCCCAAATCTCTTGGGGCTCCAGGTTAGGGGGCCGGTGGCGTGGGGTGGCACTGCCATCGCGTGGAAGTGGCTTGTCACCGCTGCCTGCTGCCTGCCACCCCCTTTTTTTTTCTTCTCTCCCCCAGCCCTGCAAGCCCCTGGACTGCCTGAGCCAGGACATCGTGGACAAGCTCCTCCTCTGCGGGCTGCTGGAGGCTGAAGAAGTGGGTGTCCCCCCAAAACCCCCTCCCTGCGCCCTCCGGTCCTGGCGGGAAAGGGGGACGGGGGACCGGGGTGCCTTGTGGTTGGGGACAGGGATGCCAATGGGGTGGCTTCAAAGGTGGGCATGACACCGGGCTTCGTCCCCGCAGCCAGAGAGCGAGCGCTGGGTCTGCGATTTGGCCCCGCAGCCCTGCTGCCGTCGACAACCCTGGGCAGGGATGGACTTCACCGACAGCGACAGCGACGACGAAGTCCCCAAGCGCTGCTTCAAGGTACTCGGAGCGTCCCCCTTCGCTGCCCCCCCCACACCCCGTGGCAGGGTGACGGCCCCCAACTCGCCAAACCCTTCCAGCTCCGCGAG